GAAGAAAATTGTTCTTTCTTTTTTCTTTTTTTTCTCATTTCATGTTGGCAGCACGTAGAAAAACTAATTCTTATAACAAACATCCCATAAATCAGTGAAACATCTAAAACGTAGAATATTACTCATCGTATAGTTTGTATGCGACATGTCAAGAGAATGTGACATTACCATGACGAGACGATATTTATCTGTAAAGCCTCATATTATTCAAAATTTTCTTCTTCTCTGGCTCGATGAAAACATCAACGAAAGTGAACTCAACAACGAAAACAACATTTATTACAGTTCGATGTATCAATTACGCTCCATTATTAATACGATATGCACGTTTAATGATGCAAATCAAAGTATCGATTTTCTTACTGATGTTCAAGATGAGAAAGTTTTCATGATTATATCTGGTTCTTTCAGTCAACACATAGTACCTCTTGTTTATGAAGTAGCTCAGCTTCATTCAATTTATATTTTTTGTGAACACCATCAACCAGATCAAACCCAATGGACAAACGGAATGTACAAAGTGAAAGGTACTTTCACACAAATCGATTGCATTCTCAAGTTACTGAAACAAGCTGCACGAGAGTATGATGAAAATTATACCTCGATTAGTTTTGTTTCGGCCAGTGACCTATCATGTGGAAGTCTAAATCAATTGGATAAATCATTTATGTATACGCAGTTACTTAAAGAAATTATATTGGATATTGAATATGACATTGAATATATAGAGGAATTTACTACTTATTGTCGGAATAAATATGCAAATAATCAAGCTGCAAGAAATTTTCTTGATAAATTTGAAAACGAATATTTTAAACATCTACCTGTTTGGTGGTACACATATCCGTGTTTTATCTTCTCCATGCTGAATCGAGCTTTGAGAACTTTAGAAGCTGATACTATGATTAAAATGGGATTTTTCATTCGAGATCTCCATAATCATATCACAGAACTCTACTCAGAACAATTAACTCATCATCAGGTACGACCTTTTACTGTTTATCGAGGTCAAGGCATGTCAAAGCTGGATTTTGAAAAAATGTTGAAAACAAGAGGTGGACTCATATCATTCAATAATTTTCTATCAACCACTAAAGATCAAAATGTCGCTTATGCGATAGCCGATAGCAATAGAGGCAATCCTGATTTGGTAGGAATTCTTTTCGAAATGAAGATTGATCCATCCATATCATCAACTCCATTTGCTATTCTCGACGAAACAAGCTACTATCACAACTCAGAAAAAGAAATTCTTTTCTCTATGCATACCATTTTTCGTATTGTTGATATAAAACAGATTCATGGCATCGATCGACTCTTGGAAGTAGAACTCACATTAACTAAGGACAACGATCCACAACTTAGTATTCTTACAGAATTGATGCGTGAAGAAACTAGAGCAACAACACCGTGGGATCGAATAAGTCAAATGTGGCTCAAGTTAGGTGAATGGGACAGAGCTGAACAAGATTATCGTGATCACGTTGAGTTAGTATTTCATCCTGTAGACAAAGCACATATGTACAATCAGCTTGGCTACATAATGACATGGAAGGCGAACTATGTTGAAGCATTGTCGTTTTACCAAAAATCAATAGATATTTATCAAAAAATACGGCCTCCAAATGATCTTACCTTCAGAGGCCTCTATAGTAATGTTGGTGCCGTTTATGAAAAAATGGGAGAATTCACGAAAGCACTATCTTTTTTTGAAAAAGCACTTGAAATTGCAAAAGAAAAATTACCGCCAGATCATGCCGATGTCGCATCTATTTATCACCATATGGGTGAATTGTTCCATAATATAGGAGACTACTCAAAAGCGTTTCCGTTCTACGAGAAAGCACTTAAAATTAGTGAAAAAACACTTCCTTCTAACGATCCAAAGTTGGCTTTTCTTTATGGCAATATCGGTTTGGCATATAGAAACAAAGGAGACAATATCAAAGCATTTTCATTTTATCAAAAAGGACTTGCAATTCAAGAGCGAATACTCCCTCAAGATCATGTTAGTTTGGCTACTACTTACTACAACATCGGTGCACTTTTTATTGCTATGCAAGATTACTTGACAGCAATTCTTTATTATGAAAAAGCACTTAGTATTGACGAAAAGAAGTTGCCTCCAGATCATCCAGATTTAGCTTCTACCTATGGTAGTACTGGCGACGCATACGTCGAAATTGAAGAGTACTCAAAAGCAATTTTACTTTACGAAAAACAGCTAAAAATCTTTAAAAAGAGACTTCCTTCAAATCATTTCGATCTCGTCATTTCTCACAATAATATTGCCTTCCTATACATGACAATAGGTGATAATACCAAGGCTATTTCATATTTTGAAAAGACACTTCAGATCTGCGAACAAGCGTCTTCTTCTAGTCACGAGACATTATCTGCTATATATAAAAATATTGCTGCAGCATATGATGAAATGGGAGAGCACACAAAAGCAACTGAATTGAAAGAACATGCTGCCAGAATTAACTAGTTATCAAAAGCTAAAACTGTTCCTGAAGTTCGCAGAAAATAGCGAACGCTGGATATTAACAATAACAATTTGATATAAATGAATGTTTTTCCCTTGAAAATGAATTGAATGCATTAAATTCATTTGCTTCTTACATACATATATATCCCCCTGGCCAAAAATAGTTTTACACAGTATTTTTAATAAATCATAGCTATAAATAAACATTTTGACAAAAATAACCATATATTCGGATAGCCCTTTGAGTTCTCTACAACCATATATATATTCAATTTAAATTGCACTTTGTTTGTTAAAGATAAATTGAAGTATAATGAAGGCACCCTCATCGTCAGATTCCCCAGAAAGACATTTTTTTCGATCATTTTTCGTTCATCAAATAAGTATGAAGTCAAGACTAACAAAGTGTACAGGATGATAGAGAATTTGACGCGCTTTCAGAATATATACTTACTTTGGAGATTACTTGTTCCTGTATAAAAAAATAAAATTGAAAAATGAACAAAAAAGATAAAAAATTGAACAGAAAATGACGAAAAAGAAATGCCTTTCTGGGGAATCTGACGATGAGGGTGCCTTCATTATACTTCAATTTATCTTTAACAAACAAAGTGCAATTTAAATTGAATATACACTATGTCAAAAAATTATTTGGACACTTATTATACCGATATTGTGAAGCAGATTTCATAATCACAGAAAAAGATTTTATCAACATTTAATACAGCATTCAATAGCCCCGAATCTGTACTTTATTCCACGAGTAAAAATATTTATTAAGAAAATATCTTTGGTGGATTTTTTGGGATTTTTAGTAAAACTTTTGATTTTCTGCGCAAAAAAATTATTTGGACACTTTCATTATTTTCTTTCTAGAACACGAATTTTTCATCAAAATTCTTTGAAAAATAGCTCATTCGATAGAGAAAATTGTTCTCTACCTGACTGTGTCATTTTAAATTACAAATATCAAACCAGGTCCTTAGAAAACTCGAAATACCTGGAGCACCATCGGTTTTACAAAAAACCATCAAATTTTCAGGTTTTGCGATATAGAAACTTGTCTTAAAATATATCATTCGATAGAGAAAATAAAACTGCATCTAATGATCTTAATTTCTTGCAAAATATATGTTGAAAACCTAAACTAAATTGCGAAATAAGATCAGGGTTTTTCCTAGTCCTTTCATTAATCTTAATTTTTCAACCACAAAATAAGCTCGAAAAAATTTTTTCAAAAAACATGGTTCTGGAGAATTAAATTCTCTTCAAAATGATGTATTTGAATTTAAGATAAACATTTTCCTTCAAGTCGTTAAGGCCCTTTCTTTTCACACGCGCGTTGTTACAGAGAGAGAGAAATAAACAATTTTTTTTT